ATTGCTGATCTCCTGCAAAGAAGGATCTTGGGTTAGCCCAGAGCTTATGAGCAAACCCAATGAGCAAAGAGAATGAAAACCGGTACTGTAAAAAGGGAATTTCCTTTTTCCTAATATCTTGTTCTATGAGAAAAGAAATCCATTAAATAACATTCCTGGTTTTTCTCTGCCCCCCCTCCCTCAACTCCTTTAAGGGAGAAGGAGTAAATTTTCCAACTAGAAATTTGGAGAACAGGAAATAGCTATCATGCTTCAGCCCCTTCCTCCTGCTTTTTCTCTTTGGGATCTGCTGGTCTGCGGAGAAGACATTCTGTTCTACTCTGCAAACATTAGAATGGTAGGCTCTGCTCGTGCAGTCAGAAGCCTGAAATTGTCCAACACTGTGACAGTAAGTCTACCTAATTTAGGGGTTCAATATTAGGAAGTCCACTTGCCCATAGCTGTAAGTCATGTTGTTCAGTCTAAATTAGCAATAAAGGTGATAGTTCTCCATCTGCTTGGACATTTATCAGCTGGCCCTTCTAGAAGGTACATGGCCTCACAGGGAATGGTGGACGTGGGATTACCAGGAAAACACCTCTTAGAAAGTGACTGGACTCTAAGTCCAGTCAGTCAGTCAGTCAGGAGGCAAAATAGATACAGTTCCACATGGGACTGAGGCCGGGCAATAACGGCAGAGAACTGGTGGTGAGGACAGCTCGCCCTCACTGAGGACAGCTCGCCCTCACTGAGGACGTCTAGGAGACAGCACAGAACACTTCTTAGAATCACCCCTCGGAGCCCACCACCACCAGGGGGCAAAAAAGCTAGGCCATTTATCTACCAGCTCCCACTGGTCATGGGTTGAAGGCTGCTCCCAGGGGCATTAATTCTCTGGCACTTCCAGCCTGCCTCACACATTGGTTTTGCACCCTCTGAAGCCTGGACAAGGGCCTCACAAGAAGATTGAGGAAGGAGTAATGCAAAAATGACGTGGGCAGGGCCCTCTACAAGTACAGATCTTGCATTACCACAGAAGAAAATACTTCAGATCCAGCTTAGCAGACCTCAGGCCTTTTCTATGTATCATGCTGACACTGAAAACTCAATGTTACAGGTTATCTAGCCAGGAATTTTACCCTCATCAATGGTAAAAGAGGAGAAACTAGGGATCAGAAAGATGAGGACTGCCCAAAACAAAAAGGCATAACAATATAATATGCAACCATATAATACATGGGATTTATAAAGAGACAAAACCAAGTCCTGAACTTTTTTAATGAATAGAGGAAAGGTATTTCTTTTTGAGAGGATGGAGCAGAGTGTGCAATCAGAACATTAGTGAGTTTTTTTACTGTAAATACTTTGCTGAAATTGTATATAGAATTAGCATACCCAGTACACCTAAATCAAGGGCATCAAATTGCAGTATTGTTTGTTGAGTCTGCAAAAAGAGCCAGCCTTCATCCTTAAAGTTTAACTCAACTCCTTCAGTAAGCTTTGGATAATGGATAGCTACAGGATTCAACCAGGGGCTGCAGCTGAACTCTTATGCCTAATAATTGATATACTGAAAAGCTAAAGCATGTTCAGGTCCTGATCATAGCATTTTGCAAGATTGAATGGCATTATAAGCACGCTAATTCAGACTGAAAACATTCATCAAAGTTAGTATTAGCTTCACAATGTCTAAGATGCAAGTGAAGCTGTATCCTTCTTGGCTTATAAAATTAGACTACAAAGAAAAAAGATTGCTGAGGTTATTGTCAGTCAAAATTAACTTCAATACAGAGTAAGCAGTAAATAAAACTCTAATAGGACTATCAATTGTGATTTGGGTGTTTTCTCCATTTGGAAAACATTAGAAGAGCAAAAGAATATAGTATGGTAAATTATGTTTTAAAAAATTCTAAAAGTAAAAGATAAATATTAATTTTTTACTGTAGCAGAAAGCAACCCACTCCAACACCGTGCTTGCCTACAAGATAAAGTACACAGTTTGGCATTTGAGACCCCTTACCATCTGGCCCACACACTCCCTCCTATATCACCCAAGTCTATCACTGCATCCTGGCAAATTCTGTCTCCAAAATACATGTAGTCTCTATCACCATGTCTCTGGCCTGACCCACTGCAACAATTTCCTAACTGGCCTCTCTCCTTCCTTTCTGACCCCTCCAACATGTCCTCCTCCCAGCAACTAGAGTGATTGTTTGCAAAATCCTTTCCTGACCTACATACTGTTGGTGGGAATATAAATAAGTATAGCCATGATGGAAAACAGTATGGAGATTTCTCAAAAAAATTAAAAATAGAACTACTACACCATACAG